GGACCAACATAAATCACTACAACAAAAAATATTTTTTGTGAAATTTTTTTTTGCGACGATTTTAAATTTGTCACAAAAACTTTACTATCTGTGACGATTTTCTAATTTGTAGCAAATTTCTATTTTTACAATTTTTTGCGACGTTTTTTTAAGTACGTCATGAAAAAGGAGATTCCCTCCTAATTATTTTTGGCGGGAGGAGTGGCGGAAATTGATAATTTTTTACGACAAATATTTTTCGTCGCAAATAGTTTTATGTGATCGCAAAAATGAATAATCTAATATTTAAATTTTAAAAAAATTATAAATTTCTATTTTTCGCAATTTTTTGCGAAGTTTTTGAAAAAACATCGAGAAAAAGAGATTCCCTCCTAACTATCTGCGACGTTTTAAAAAAGTTGTCACGAATAATTATTAAGGTAATATCTTTGCGCGACATTTTTTTAGTACATTGCCAAAAATGTGAGTCCCAATTAAATAATCAAAAATAAAAATTTAATTCGCGATGTTTTTAAGTTCGTCGCATCACAAAAATTATACTATCTGGGACGTTTTAAAAAATTTGTCGCGGATAATTATTAAGGTAATATTTTGCGCGACATTTTTTTTAGTACGTTGCAAAAAATGTGAGTCCCAATTAAATAATCAAAAATTAAAAAGTTAAAATAAAAATTTAATTCGCGATGTTTTTAAATTCGTCGCAAAAAATATACTATCTACGACGTTTTAAAATATTTGTCGCGGATAGTTATTAAGGTAATATTTTGCACGATGTTTTTATACGTCGCAAAAAATGTGAGTCCCAATTAAATAATCAAAAATTAAAAAGTTAAAATAAAAATTTAATTCGCGATGTTTTTAAATTCGTCGCAAAAAATATACTATCTACGACGTTTTAAAATATTTGTCGCGGATAGTTATTAAGGTAATATTTTGCACGATGTTTTTATACGTCGCAAAAAATGTGAGTCCCAATTAAATAATCAAAAATTAAAAAGTTAAAATAAAATTTTAATTCGCGACGCTTTTAAATTCGTCGTAAAATATATAATATCCGCCACGTTTTAAAAAATTTGTCGCGAATAATTATTAAGGTAAGATTTTGCGCGACGTTTCTTTGTATGTCGCAAAAAATGTGAGTCTCAATTAAATAATCAATTAAAATAAAAATTTACTTCGCGACGTTTTTAAATTCGTCCCAAATTTGATTTTTAAACAAATATAAGCAAGTTGAGGACAAGCAAGCAAGTGCAAAGCTTGATGAGTCTGAACTTAGACTGGCCCAACTTCAGCGTCAACTTCCCTCCAATGAACCTGGTGCTTTGATGCACCTTGTTGAAGATGCTGCAGGCAAGGATGAAGATGACGAAGAAACGGGGGAATGTAAAAATATCTTCAAAAATATTAAATTATTCTTGAGTCATGAGGTGAGATTTATTGTTTGTCATTTGAAACTGTAGTATTTCATTAGGCTGTTTCTTCGCCAATAGATAGGATTTAAATTCTTATTGTTTTGCTTTTTTCTTCTCAGTCTTTCACTTTTGTCCCATGTTGTAAGATTTGTTTCTTTTGTTGATGGGCTTCCCTTGCAGACATTGTACCTCATTTTAACGTTAATTGGGTTCATTTTAACGTTAATTGGCTTCCCTTGCGATTTCCCTAGCAGACTAGTTTGTTTTCACAGAAAAGCTTGGGCCTTTTTTTGGTCACTGCTTTTTGACTCCCTCTTTTTTAATTGCTTTCATTTCTTATTCTTTGTCCTTTGCTGTTACCTATATAATTATTCAGGCCAAATTCACACAAACAGAATGCATTTCGCTGTAATCTGTTCTGTCACTGAATATATGAGGTTAATGCACCTGATTATTTAAGCTGTCAAATTTGGGATGGATGCAGATGTCAATTCTTGAGAAACAATATCATGATGAATTGAAAATAGAACTTCAAGGCGTCCAGTATTCTTCTGTGTCAAATACGAGTAAGCAGAATTCTGTTGACGACACAGAGGCTGGAGGAGAATCTCTTCCTGATTTACAGCAAATTGCTGAGGATGCTGCCAGCATTTCCAAGGTTGTGACGTCACGTAAAAAGAGGAGGCTCTATGAAGCAATTGCAGGTAATTTTCTTGACATTATTATTCTGCCTTAATTCTTCCTTCAAGGTGTGTAATGCTTATTTTTTTTATCTTCCCTTTTTTCATCAGAAGTGCCACATAAAAATTACTAGTTAATTATTAAACATATGTATTTGTCTGCTTTTATATTCTGTCTCAGAATCCCATGAGTCGGGGGTTGTCTTGGTTCACTATTTAATTATTGGCATGGTGCTTTGAGTTTGTGCTGTTAGGAAAGCTAATAGTGTTACTTAGATTTCTGTTTGGAAAGCGGATAATGCCGGGTCTTTTTCTTTTACTTGGATAGTTGTGAGTTGTGACATGTAAACTCATAAAATGACTTGACTCCTGCAAAATGCTATTTAAAACGCAGGAAACTGATTTAATTTCCGAGAAATTTCGAACATTCTTTAATGATTTCCCCTCCCCCCTCCCCCCTCCTTTCCTAATGTAGTTCATTATTCTATAGATATGATTTAAACATTACTATAAGACTTCTAGATTGCTTAAATTCACTGGTTCACATATAGTGAGCAGTGACATACTACTTCCTTCTAATAATCAAATCAGACCTGCAAAATTTTCGAATACAAACATTAGTGTTAAAATTACCCAATTGAGGATCTAATGTGGCTTAATCTATCCCAATCATGATAGGTAGCCTATTTTCTTTTCTTACTGTAAATTATGCACATCCACATCCGTATTTTACTGCATTAGCCACCTAATAGCACCTCTGGTGTGTTAAAACTTTGTTTTTTATAATTGTCTGAGGTGGGCTGATCTTTTGGTCGTTGCACCTGGAAAACTTGAGATTAGTTGCCTNTCTCCCATTGGATGTTAATTAACTGTAATATGGATGGTGATGGTGAAACAGAGCTGGATCATGCAACCCTGCCACTTCATTGGCACAAAAACTTGTATTGTCATTGTTAGAATGATTATGTAGATAGTTATATGGATTCACTAAAAATAAGCATAAAGACCTGAAAGAAGAATCAGTTATTCTATTTATATATAATGATGATAAATACTTTGAATAATCTATGGACCATCTAATATATTAAGCAAGATAAATACTTTGAATGAATCCTATTTTGATTCAAAACAAATATGCTGGCTACAGGTACCTTTTGTTTTGAATTTTCTTGTTTTCACAGAAAAGCTTGGGCGTGCTGCTGCTAGTTTTTAAGTATGAAAGGGTTAACTTTTTTCTTGGAAATACATATATATATTCCTTTTTTTGGTCACTGCTTTTTGACTCCCTCTTTTTTAATTGCTTTCATTTCTTATTCTTTGTCCTTTGCTGCTACCTATTTAATTATTTAGGCCAAATTCACACAAACAGAATGCATTTCGCTGTTATCTGTTCTGTCACTGAATATATGAGGTTAATGCACCTGATTATTTAAGCTGTCAAATTTGGGATGGATGCAGATGTCAATTCTTGAGAAACAATATCATGATGAATTGAAAATAGAACTTCAAGGCGTCCAGTATTCTTCTGTGTCAAATACGAGTAAGCAGAATTCTGTTGACGAGACAGAGGCTGGAGGAGAATCTCTTCCTGATTTACAGCAAATTGCTGAGGATGCTGCCAGCATTTCCAAGGTTGTGACGTCACGTAAAAAGAGGAGGCTCTATGAAGCAATTGCAGGTAATTTTCTTGACATTATTATTCTGCCTTAATTCTTCCTTCAAGGTGTGTAATGCTTATTTTTTTTATCTTCCCTTTTTTCATCAGAAGTGCCACATAAAAATTACTAGTTAATTATTAAACATATGGATTTGTCTGCTTTTATATTCTGTCTCAGAATCCCATGAGTCGGGTTGTCTTGGTTCACTATTTAATGGTGCTTTGAGTTTGTGCTGTTAGGAAAGCTAATAGTGTTACTTAGATTTCTGTTTGGAAAGCGGATAATGCCGGGTCTTTTTCTTTTACTTGGATAGTTGTGAGTTGTGACATGTAAACTCATAAAATGACTTGACTCCTGCAAAATGCTATTTAAAACGCAGGAAACTGATTTAATTTCCGAGAAATTTCGAACATTCTTTAATGATTTCCCCTCCCCCCTCCCCCCTCCTTTCCTAATGTAGTTCATTATTCTATAGATATGATTTAAACATTACTATAAGACTTCTAGATTGCTTAAATTCACTGGTTCACATATAGTGAGCAGTGACATACTACTTCCTTCTAATAATCAAATCAGACCTGCAAAATTTTCGAATACAAACATAAGTGTTAAAATTACCCAATTGAGGATCTAATGTGGCTTAATCTATCCCAATCATGATAGGTAGCCTATTTTCTTTTCTTACTGTAAATTATGCACATCCACATCCGTATTTTACTGCATTAGCCACCTAATAGCACCTCTGGTGTGTTAAAACTTTGTTTTTTATAATTGTCTGAGGTGGGCTGATCTTTTGGTCGTTGCACCTGGAAAACTTGAGATTAGTTGCCTTCTTTCTTTTCTTCTGGTCACCAGTATTTTTACTAATGTTATTCTCATGGTTTAATGTTGGCCTTATTTGGCTGGTTATTTTTTATAATTGGAATATTTAATTTCTTGCTTATGATACTATTTTTATGTTGTGTGTTTAGGCCTTTAAGAGGAAGAAGCACTGGCAACAGCAGCAGCAGTACTTCACCCCCTCGTAACCCTAAGTCATTGAGGAATGTGACTTTCAATGAGCCCTTTTGCTTGATACGATACGATACGAGATTTAACACCATCCAGCTTAGTTTTCTTTAGTAAATCAATGGTGTATTGTCGCTGACAAAGGAATAGACCATCTGCTTATCGATATGCCTCTATTCCAAGAAAATAGTGAAGAGAGCGTTGATCCTTGCTTGCAAAGCTAGCATGGAGCTGAGAAATAACATCCTGAATGCAAGTATTATTAGATCTAGTGACAATAATGTCGGCAACATAAACAAGGATATATAGAGTGAAATGAGAAGTGCACTTCATAAATAAGGATGTATCGGCTTTAGAGGTGGTGAAACCAAGCTGAATAAGATAATTGTTGAGATGATGATGCCAAGCACAAGGTGCTTGCTTGAGTCCATACAAAGATTTATGAAGGCGGCATACATTTGTAGGGACTTGAGTATCAACAAAACCAGGAGGTTGCTTCATATAAACCTCTTCATCAAGTGTGCCATGAAGAAAAGCATTTTGAACATCAAGCTGATCTAGTGGCCAACTTCTAGAGACTGCAAGGCTTAAGATTCTGCGAATGGTGCAAGGTTTGATGACAGGACTGAAGGTCTCACTGTAATCAATCCCTTCGTGTTGATGAAACCCTTTGGCAACCAAACGGGCTTTGTAGCGGGCAACGGTGCAATCTGCCTTGCATTTTAATCGAACACTTATTTACTACCAATGACATTCATATGAGACTTAAAGGGAACAAGGCTCCATGTGCCATTTTTGAGAAGGGCATTAATCTCATTACTCATAGCATCCCTCCAATTCTGATCAACATGAGCTTGGGAGAAGCATGTGGGTTCTTCGATCTCATCACTAGGTAAGTGATGTTTAGTAGTAGTTAAAGCTTTGGGCTTGAAGATCCCATTTTTGGACCTCGTGACCATGGGATGAGTGGGGTGATGTAATGGTTCAGAAGAGGGATGTGGTTAGTCCGTGGAGTTATATGATGGGAAGGACTGGGTAAAGGGTGGTAGTGTAGGAGGTTCGGTGGAAACAATGGGTGTGATCATGCGGGTAAAAGAGGGTGATGGCGAAGTAGTGGTTGGGATTAATTAGTGAGGAAGGAGCAGGTGCCATGGGGTTTGGAGGAAGTGGTGGTGAGTTAGGTAAAGGTAGTAAAGGAGGAAAAAATACCTGATGTGAGGAGCAAGGTGCGCATGGTGGAACATGATTTTGCACAGCGGCCAACGGGAAGGACTGTTCATTGAAGACTACATGACAACTAATGTATATGCGATTTGTAGGCAAATGTAAAGATTTATAACCTTTATGAGAGGGGCTATACCCTAGAAAAACACATGGTAGAGAACGAGGAAGTAATTTGTGAGAGTTATAGGCACGAAGGTGGGGGTAACATTCACACCCAAATACACGCATATGCGTATATTCTGGATAAATTTGAAAAAGGACTTCAGGTGGACTTTTATTTTGTAAGACCAGAGATGGGAGACGATTCACTAAATAACATNCAGAGGCTGGAGGAGAATCTCTTCCTGATTTACAGCAAATTGCTGAGGATGCTGCCAGCATTTCCAAGGTTGTGACGTCACGTAAAAAGAGGAGGCTCTATGAAGCAATTGCAGGTAATTTTCTTGACATTATTATTCTGCCTTAATTCTTCCTTCAAGGTGTGTAATGCTTATTTTTTTTATCTTCCCTTTTTTCATCAGAAGTGCCACATAAAAATTACTAGTTAATTATTAAACATATGTATTTGTCTGCTTTTATATTCTGTCTCAGAATCCCATGAGTCGGGGGTTGTCTTGGTTCACTATTTAATTATTGGCATGGTGCTTTGAGTTTGTGCTGTTAGGAAAGCTAATAGTGTTACTTAGATTTCTGTTTGGAAAGCGGATAATGCCGGGTCTTTTTCTTTTACTTGGATAGTTGTGAGTTGTGACATGTAAACTCATAAAATGACTTGACTCCTGCAAAATGCTATTTAAAACGCAGGAAACTGATTTAATTTCCGAGAAATTTCGAACATTCTTTAATGATTTCCCCTCCCCCCTCCCCCCTCCTTTCCTAATGTAGTTCATTATTCTATAGATATGATTTAAACATTACTATAAGACTTCTAGATTGCTTAAATTCACTGGTTCACATATAGTGAGCAGTGACATACTACTTCCTTCTAATAATCAAATCAGACCTGCAAAATTTTCGAATACAAACATTAGTGTTAAAATTACCCAATTGAGGATCTAATGTGGCTTAATCTATCCCAATCATGATAGGTAGCCTATTTTCTTTTCTTACTGTAAATTATGCACATCCACATCCGTATTTTACTGCATTAGCCACCTAATAGCACCTCTGGTGTGTTAAAACTTTGTTTTTTATAATTGTCTGAGGTGGGCTGATCTTTTGGTCGTTGCACCTGGAAAACTTGAGATTAGTTGCCTTCTTTCTTTTCTTCTGGTCACCAGTATTTTTACTAATGTTATTCTCATGGTTTAATGTTGGCCTTATTTGGCTGGTTATTTTTTATAATTGGAATATTTAATTTCTTGCTTATGATACTATTTTTATGTTGTGTGTTTAGGCCTTTAAGAGGAAGAAGCACTGGCAACAGCAGCAGCAGTACTTCACCCCCTCGTAACCCTAAGTCATTGAGGAATGTGACTTTCAATGAGCCCTTTTGCTTGATACGATACGATACGAGATTTAACACCATCCAGCTTAGTTTTCTTTAGTAAATCAATGGTGTATTGTCGCTGACAAAGGAATAGACCATCTGCTTATCGATATGCCTCTATTCCAAGAAAATAGTGAAGAGAGCGTTGATCCTTGCTTGCAAAGCTAGCATGGAGCTGAGAAATAACATCCTGAATGCAAGTATTATTAGATCTAGTGACAATAATGTCGGCAACATAAACAAGGATATATAGAGTGAAATGAGAAGTGCACTTCATAAATAAGGATGTATCGGCTTTAGAGGTGGTGAAACCAAGCTGAATAAGATAATTGTTGACATGATGATGCCAAGCACAAGGTGCTTGCTTGAGTCCATACAAAGATTTATGAAGGCGGCATACATTTGTAGGGACTTGAGTATCAACAAAACCAGGAGGTTGCTTCATATAAACCTCTTCATCAAGTGTGCCATGAAGAAAAGCATTTTGAACATCAAGCTGATCTAGTGGCCAACTTCTAGAGACTGCAAGGCTTAAGATTCTGCGAATGGTGCAAGGTTTGATGACAGGACTGAAGGTCTCACTGTAATCAATCCCTTCGTGTTGATGAAACCCTTTGGCAACCAAACGGGCTTTGTAGCGGGCAACGGTGCAATCTGCCTTGCATTTTAATCGAACACTTATTGACTACCAATGACATTCATATGAGACTTAAAGGGAACAAGGCCCCATGTGCCATTTTTGAGAAGGGCATTAATCTCATTACTCATAGCATCCCTCCAATTCTGATCAACATNTCCCCCCCTTCCTTTCAATTGTTCAACAATCCAAGTAAACCATTCATTTTCATTTGTAGGGAAACTTTCTTGGAAACGAAAATCTATTCAAATAATCCCGGTGTTAGCAAATGCTGGTACTTGTAGTCACATTATATGATGATAAAATCGTCTAGTTAACTTGTAATTCTCAAGAAAGATGACTAGATATGAACATAAATGGCAAAAAATACGATATTACCTTTACTATATTCCTATTTTCGCTTGCCTCTTTTGCCAGTTTAGGATACATTGACGAACTCAAGTACCATTGACTAACAACAGCTTGTGACCTTGGTTGAACAAATGATTTAGCCTGGTGCACTGATGCACTTTTGCCTGCAAAGCAATTGAATCTATTGACAATTTTAGTGTTTGACAAAGCTTGATTCCATAAAGGCGAGTAGTTGATGTTGGAACATTGGGTTTTGTTCTTGTAACAAATTTAAAAGATATCTCTGTTGAAATTTTTTAATATTGGATTTTCATCAATTGATAATTAATTTTGAGTTTGTGAAAAACGGACTGATTTTATGGTCCAATGAGATAAGTCCAATATTGTTTAGTGATCTATTTTGATGGGCTTATGTGCATCTTTTTAATTGATGTGGTTGAGGCGGGTTAAATGTAAGCCTTAATCTAATTGTGACCCATAATGGGAAAGCATATTAGATTCATTATAAATAGCAGACTAGGTCCCTTCTCCACTTCATAACCTAATTTGGCTTGTCCCATTGAGAACCGCCTATTCCTTTGAAGGAGAGGAATACCTTACCCATCCATGAAAAAAACCTGAAGGTCGAATACTATGGCTCACACAGGTATGGTCTAAACTTATTATTTAAATCTTATAATTTAAGTGTTCTAAATTTCATATACGAATTATTAAAATTCTTACAATCTCTTGGAAAACCTCCAGTATCGGNCCTTTGAAGGAGAGGAATACCTTACCCATCCATGAAAAAAACCTGAAGGTCGAATACTATGGCTCACACAGGTATGGTCTAAACTTATGATTTAAATCTTATAATTTAAGTGTTCTAAATTTCATATACGAATTATTAAAATTCTTACAATCTCTTGGAAGAACCCCAGTATCGATTGATTAGTTCTTTACTCTCTAACTTATTTTCTGGCATTAACAATGAATACCAATAACAGCTAGGAAGTCTTCAACAACTATGGGACCGATAATAGGTTCTAATATTTGTTGGAACCCGTTACTAATAGTTGTAATGGATGGAGTCAACAATTTATGTCACTATTCTGGACCATTTAGATGGTTACACCCAGTAATCGAATAGACAATAATACGAAGCAACAATATTACAATCTTGAAGATGAAAATAGACCTGCTCCAAAAAAGAAGAAGATGAAAAGAGAGCTTACAGATGAAACGTTGAATTCCATTGGTAAATAGATGTTTCTCCATGGCTCCAACCATT